CTCCAAATCCTGTCTCCAAAACCAAGAATATGAATCCCCCAGAGCTGGCTTGTGTTTTTCTCTTCACTTCTTTTTTTTTCCTCACACACCAAGGCAGAGGCTGCCTGTCAAAACAGGGTTCCTGAGGCCACCCTGGGCCATCTTGGAGGCTGCATCCAAGGCTGAACCTCAGACATGGCAGCTCTGAGAACACATAGGGCTGCTGAGATGGCCCAGGACCTTGGCCTGGGAAAAATACACTCCTTGTGTTCAACCCTGGTTTTTTCATCAAACTAGAGATGTCCCAAGATGACCTGTGGACAAAAGAGGACAAAGTCTTTCCTTTGACCCAAAAGAAATGACCTATAAGATCTATAAGCTGAGAGCCATAGGTTACTATTAACCGTTACTGAATCTTTCAGTAAAGAAAGATTAAGGTCATGTCCTCTGGTTCAAGGCTCTTTGTCTGGGTTTTATCCCCTGCTGGACTCAGACCCAACTGCAATAATTCTTTGCTCTGCATCTGTCCTAAGTTTAGCACTTGTCTCCGTGAAAGTCACCTTTAGGATGACTTGGGAGTGAGGACACCAGACTTTGAACTCAGGGCCTCGTGCTTACTAGACAGGTGCTCTGCCACTTGAGCCATACACCCAGTCCCCTATAGGATGACTTTCAAACATAGGTTTTGTTTGGAAACAATGAGGTGTTTGCTGTATAAGAATGGCACAGGAAGAGAAAAAGGGCAAAGACCTTTGTTACCAAATAGTCAACTCCCAAAAGTGGAGTCACCACCTCAGGACTAAGCAGACATGTCAACCACCACCTTTCAAAGCACAGCGCTGACACTGTTTTTCCCTGGCACATGCATGCTCTCATGACAGCCAGCTCCATCTCTGAGCCTTCCTCAAAAAGCTGATGAGCCGGGCCACAGAAATGCGAAAACATTCTCAAAAATCTGCCATGGTGGAACCAAGTTTCAGTTATTTGATCAAGAAATGTAGCTGCCTGGCTGGTGGAGTGGCTCAAGTGGTAGAGTGTCTGCCTAGCAAGCGAAAGGCCCTGAGTTCAAAACCCAGAAACCCAGTGCCGCAAAAAAAAGAAAAGTACCCCTGCCTCCCACAAACAAAACTTTGGGCAGAGAGGGGAAAGGAGCCCCTGTGGTGTCACAGCACCGGATTCTCTAAACAACTGCGACAACAGTTGGCAACAGTAATGCCAGCAGGCCTGCAGTAGGGATCTCAGGACCTGTTCCTGGTGTCAGGTGTCACAGGGACTTGGTGAAGTGACTCTTCAGCTCAGTACAAAGTGAGGACTGCTACTGGGTGATAAATTCCTTTCTCCCCTGAAGTTGTCCAAGGAGCATAAAGGGTTTTATCTCCTCACTGGTAGCAAAGGGCCCCCCTGGTTTTGAGAAGTTGATTTATTCCAGAATGTCAGAATGCTGCTTGCTGCGGGGTCTCTACCCCCATTGCCTGAAGGCAGGGGTGTTCTTGTCTCTGTCAGGACTATCCACCTAGCCCAGCAGGATGTCACTTGCATCCCACCTGACCAAGTGTCTTGGAGGAGATGCAGCAAGGCTAATGGAAAGGTCCAGTGCTAAAGGGTGATTTGCACACATCACCACTGGCCTACACTGCCCTCGAATCCACCCACCAGCAACCAGCAGCACCGGAAAAGTGTGTGTGTGTGTGTGTGTGTGTGTGTGTGTGGCACAGTCTAGTCTGAGACATCAAGCACTCCTCTGCTTCTTGAGATATTACTTGGTGTAAATTAGGGTAAACTCAATTCCAAACCTGCCAGCACATCCAAAACGGCCCTCCGGTCCCAGCTCCTCTTTGTTCAAGTCTCAATGTAAACCTGGGCTTCTGACAAGCCATGAGCGACAGCATGCAGAAATTCGAGGGAAACCCTCTCCAGAACCGAAGCCGAGATGAACGCTGCACAACCAGAACCGTGGGCTGACGCCAGGGCGCTAGGACCCCGCAAACAAGCTCAGGATGCCCGCGGCGCTGTGCCAGGGCCCCGCAGAGATGTGCAGCCCAGCCCAGGGTCCCGGCTCTCGCAGATGCAGGGGTTTGAGAGAGAAAGGAAGGAAAAATGCAGAAAGAGAAAGTGACAGATTCAAATGCGATCCAAACGTGCGGAGCTACTCGTTCCATGTCAGAAGTGCTGCCGTGGTTTGGGTGGCCCTCCATGGTCTTTGGATCGCATTGGAAAATGTCGCAATAGATGCTTGAATTAAAATCCAGTAGGTTTGCCAAAAGACCAATTGTTAAAAACTAGCTACACTCCAGAGAACTTACCAGGCTGCATACTGCCAGGGGCTCAGAGAATTGCTAATTCCAAGAAAGCTAATTATCACCTTATTGATAAAAGGGCAATTTTTAAAGCTCACAGTATGGCTTTTGTGGCTCATTAATTAAAATTTAGAGCAATTTATTAGACACCTTGATGGCTTCTATGACTTTATATTTGCACCAAATCATTTGGGTGTTTTGTTTTGTTTTGTTTTGTTTTCCTCCTCTCTCCTCATATGTCTGTCTTTGAAAGCAACGAAAACATAAAAAAATGCATAAATCTCAAACCAGCCTTTTGGGAGATGGCAGGGTTAAGAAATAAGACATCCACAGAAGCATTTTTTTAAAACTCTCTCTTAGAAATGTCAAATTTCACCACCAATAGCATGAAACTGTGTGCTTACCCCAAAACAGGAGTATTTTAACAAATGTCAAACCCGAAATGTTAGAGCAGATTTTACTCTGCTTGAAGATTAGATTGGAAAAGGGTCTTTTTCTTCTTTTCAACTCCATCCCCAAATGAAATCTGAGGGACCTGTGGAAGAATGAGACTGGAAGCACTTACAATACTAATGCCCCAGGCCGAGGAGAAGCAGTGTCCCCTTCTGTCCTCTTTCAGATGTGTGGAGTCCCAGGGAAACACAGTCCAGCTACCTGGCACCCTTGGAATGCCTTGATTGCCAGGGGTATGAACTTGGGGAGGAAAAAATGTCCCAAGGAGGAGCTCTCACAGGGCCCCTGGGTGCAAGCTCTGTGCTACAGCTGTCACCTCTGCCCAGAAGCACGTATGTGTATGGGATGTGCCCTCCAGTCATACAAAGTTGTAAACAGACCTACTAAAGTAAAGGTTATTCTTGTCTGAACATTCCTTGTTATGTGTCCTTAAACTTGTTGAAGTTAAGTGCTAGAGATCCAAAGTCAAGGTTAAAGATAAAAGAAACAAAAGTCACCATGTTATGAAAGGATTAAAGCAATCTGGTCAGGATTTTCCCATCAGCTAGAGTTTTAAAATACTTAAAACTTCTATCTTTGTCCTTCAGGGAATTGCTTGAATTTTTATCAGAAGCAAATATTGATGAACATCTCAAAAGTCATTCCTTTTTAGAATTTTCATGATAAAAGTTCCAGTAGCTGGTGACAGCATTTGGGTTCGGTGTGATTCCTACATAGGACTAGCTGCAATCCTGAGACTCTTGCCCCCAGGACCCAAAGCAGGAAGTGAAACCACTGCTGCTCTTGCCTGCTGAAGAAAACAGTACCCAAAAGACCTGCCGGGATGCCGTCTATACTTGGTTTTCTTATTGTTTCCTTGTCTTCCTATTACTGTTCATTGACTCTTTTTTTGAAGCAAAATAAAAGTAATTTTGGTGCCACAGGGGCAAAATTTAAACACAGTAAACATAAAAGAAATGGTTCTTGTGGGATCTGCATTTTCTTTTCTAATTCCATAAATCAGGCAGACTGATAAACTTATCAAACTATCACAGACTCCCTCCACAAGCACAATTTTAAGAGCTAAAGAAAACACTCTTATTTTTAAAAATATGTCACAAGCATGTTTAAAAAGTAGATTTTTAAGCAGCCAAACAACTTCCCTGAAACAAGGTATCTCCATAAACATTTTACTCGAGTTCTGATGGTCACCCAGTACTATTTTCTGCGTAATTGTCACCCTAGTTCTACCAAAAAACACACACACACAAATTCTCCAGGTAAATATTGTACGTTCTAGATAATTTGCTTTACCACACTATGAACTCCTTTACAGCTATTTTTATATGTTATGCTTTTACTCCAGATATTCTAGATTGTAAAAAAAAAGTTCCTCCCTTCACTCTTCAAAATTGTCCCTCCAGTGGGAAAGAAAAACACGAGTACACAACAAACATCTCAATTCTGCAGTGCATGTACTTTCTCAAGGACCACAGTGACTGAGACCAGCTAAAAAGTCACTCTCTCAGAAAGCCACTGATGATCTAATGCTCATGAGGATTGCCACAGAATATAGAGACAACATGACAAGCCATGTCTCCTTTATTGTCACATATGTAGAAAGAACTTTGACTCATGCTCATCAATGAAAGGTACCATGACTCCACAGCCTGCACTGCCCTCACCACCAGTCTGGTCCCTCTAGCAAGCTACCTGGAGACACTTCAGGCCATGGGAGAAACATGTGGAAACTGGATCAGGTCCTATAGCGCTCTGCCTGGTGACTGTACTTGAACTTGGGAAAACTGCTCCTAACACCCCATAGTCACCTGGGTTTCCCCCATCTTCAAGCTAATACCAGCATCTAGCAATAAATCTTATTCTTTTCTATGACTGGCAAATTAGGAAAAACCAACACAAAGATATATGAAATATTCTACCTGGGATATTCAAAATAAAATTCAGCTTAAAAATAACACTTTGACACATTCATACACATCAATTTTAATAATCAAAATTTAAGCAACTATTTTTTCCAAGACAAGCTACAATTTTTTAAAGTAAGAAAATAAAACAAAGCAAAGCAAAAATATTGTGTGGTGAGGAAAGGTAACAAGTTATTTGAGTTCACATTTGAATAAAGAAACTTTCACCATATTTAAATACAGAGTTGGAATAGTGAGTGTGTGTATACATCCACAATTTGTAAACTGTCTAGTTCTATGTTACACCTTCCTTGCAGATCTAGTTAAGGAAACAAATGTATTTTGCATCAGAGGAACTAAAGTTTACCTGCTGCGCTCAGTGGTTTCAGTGCAGGGCACTCATGCATTAGGCATACAACCCAGAAAAACTAAATCGAGGAACCTGCTGTGCTGACAGCCAAAAGAGAAGCATCTCGTGCCATGGCACGCCATCCAGTTGTGCATCTCCCTTACCTACAGCTTGTTCACCAGAGCCCTGATCTGGTGTTGACCAGGCCGGGAGGGTTGACTCAGAAGACAGATGACTGTCGGCACATGTGACCCCAGTATTGCAAAAGCTATCTTCCACCCGTGTGCTAGGAGCCCTGCTCTCCGGCTGCAAACATCTCATTAGACTAATGCATGCAGCACGGGAAGAACACCCGATTTACCATAGCTACAGCAATGAATTTCCATTACGATGACAGCTTCAACCACATCATGTCCGGAAAACCAGCCAACCACTGGCTTCTAAAGAACACACACATTTTACATGCAGAAAACAAGGCCTGTGTGTGTGTGTGTCTGTGTGTGTGTGTGTGTTGTGTTTCCTTCCTCTAGCAGGCCAACTAAAAAATGTGCAGTGTAGCTTTTTGTCGACATGAGCTGCAAAGTAATGACACTTGTGCTCCTTTGGTACTTATGTCCTTGTAATAACCTGAATTATGCAGAATTGCCGGAATGGGTGTTCCCAACATTTCACTTTGCATTACTCCTCCTCTGTTGCCATAGAAACCAGACTGTAACATCATCTCTTTGTCCCAGTCCTGCAGCAGTAAGGGCCTATACCAGGCTTATAAGATAGTGGTGATCTGACAGAATGAATGCTTGAATTTGGACAGAACAAAAAAAAAAAAAAGAAGAAGAAGAAGAAAAGCAATGTTCCCACAGCATGGCTGTTCGGATTGCCTGTGTGTCGGTCAGAGGAGTGTGCCTACGCAAATGAACACACCATCACACCGACTAATTCTGCAGTTGCCTACGCACGCGGCTAGAGGTCATTACCACTGCATCCTACCTTTGGCTCCAGATCTGTGTGTGTAAGTGCATAGGCATTTCTACACTTCAACCTGTGTGGGACCTGCATGGGGTGAACTGGCCTCCATGCAGGAGAAGGACTGCTGTCCAGCTCTGTGTCCCATTAACGTCGCCATGGCACAGCAGGTCCATGGCAAAAGGGTCTTTTTCTCCTCCTTTTTCTTATAAAGTGAAGCAAAGCTCCCAGTGCCCATTTCATTCACTCTTGGATACCAGGGTGTTCCCAAGTATTTCCTTCAAGATGAAACATCTGTCCTACAAATACATGTTCCCTCCAGGCTGACTCCTAGGTATGAGCAGTAAGCACATTCAGCTAGGACCAAATATCAGCTAGAGCAAAATAAGGTGTCAACCCCAGCTTGGCCAGTCACTGAGAATGTAAAAAATACAATTACAACTTGAGACCTTTCTGAATATGCAGAGTCATATTAGAAAGAAGTAAGAAACCTCTATCCTTCAATTGTAAAGATAGGGAAAAATTTTTTTGAAATCAAAGCATCATATTTACTGAGTAAGGCAATTCACTCCTTTAGTTAATTTAATCATCAAATTTTGTTGTTTTGGTTTATGTAGGGAAAGGTAGGTGTGGTAATTTTTCTTTTGATCATTTCATAAATTGATTTCCTTGAAGAAGGAGGGGCTGAAGGGGAGGAAGAGGAGCTAGGATTCCCAGTCCCACATCTCAGTCCTAGACTCAGGGGTTTTGGCCATGCCTGTGACCTCACACACGATGTCACACAGGATCTCACACACATCCTGCTGCAAAACACCTGGAGTGGGCTAGAACTTTTAACTTTTTCTTTTGTTAAATAAAATAAAATAAATCATTCTTAAGTAGTCAAAAAGATTCCCCAAACCCTGTAAAAGGGTAAAAAGCCTTGGTACAATCTATCCCCAAAAAAGGTTTTGGTTTTTCTGCCTACTCTGAGGGGGCCTCTGATTCTGATCTTCGGGATCCACACTTCCTTGCTCCTCCCAAATGTGCTATGACAGTGGCTTGTCCTTCAGTCAGGTGTGTCTGAGATGTAGGCATTACCATTCAACAGGCCAACTTGACAATGATGCTTAATCCTGAAATTAACTAAAGATGGCTTGCTTTAATATATATATAATAATATATGGAATTTATTTCTTTCTACAATCAAACCAGAGGCCTTAATAAATTAAACCGATATTTTTAAATATCCTGAATGTTTCAAGTTCTGATAAAGTTTTAAGTTAAACCTGTAAGAGAAAAGGAACTTGCTAGGGTGTCTGGTATTTAGCTAGGGGTTGTTACGAGGAAAAGGGGCATCTCTGAGCCCTGACCGACCATTACAGTACTTAGGTTGTGCCACGTTGTTCATTTTATTTGGTGCTGCAGTTGCATTTTTCTTTCAGGCCACAGGTGGCATGTGTCACTCTTTCCACACTTGGTTGATGGTAAGCAAGAGGTGACCAGAGGAACAGATTCATCTTGGGGGTGTCTCAAATGCTAATCTAATTAGAGTCCCTTCAAAGAATAATCTTTCTGTCAGCTTCTGGTAAAGCCACCATTCACAGCAAAAATAGCCTTTATCCTTAAAGTTGTGTTTTCCCACACAAGCATCAGGTTGAGAGAAGTCATTCTTGAACTGAAAGTCAGTGCTACTGCAGAGACAACCTCTACTGCAATGATAGTAGGTAACCATTACTGAAGAAGTACTGCTTCCTGTGGTAACCCCTTTATGACAATCCTATGAAGTAGGGATTATCCCCCTTCCACCAATAAAGAAACTGAGACTTGGATCTATTAGATAAATTGTCCAATGTCACACAGCTCAGAAGCAGTGGACACAGGGTTCACGCAGACAGTCTGTTTCCACAGACACGGTAATTAGTTGTTCACCTCCTGCCACTGCCCCTTCTTCTAGCTTTGCCACAAACCCCATGATATTGGTCAAATCAGGTGTTTCTTTAACATGGGGAATGGTGCTAAGGGACCAGATTGTCTTTGTGGTCCCTTGTGATTCTGACATTCTACAGTCCAATGAATTGCTTTCTCTGGGAGGCTGGAACAGATGCTTGGGTTGGAGCACTTACTTGTGGCCAGTGCACAGAGAGAAAGCACTCTCTCTCAATACATTAAGATCTGGTAAACTCGCTCTTTCGACTGTCAATTTGGGGCCAAGGTAAAGAGTAAAGAGCATGGAGAAAGAACAGGAAGAAAAGCCAAGATTCCATACATGAAGCAGGGAAGGGAGACCCAGCCTCCACACTTAAGTGGCCCCACCACTTTCCTTCTGCATCGTTGGACACACTTTGGTGTAAGCGTTCATAAGAATCTTAGATCCCCAAAGAAGAAATAGAGGCAGCAAATGGTTAACCTACTTAACAAGACAAGATAAAATGATGTCAGATTTTTTGGCTTCCCAGTCTGTCACTTCTACCCAAAGCCCTCTCCACCATGGGGCTGGATCCTGGCTTAAACTACTTGAGCAGAGATTTTTCAGAATTAAAGGCAAACTGTTTTTGTAGTTAAGATACATGAAAAAGAACCTAAATATTCAAAAGTTAATAAAGTAAATGCATCCTGTGTCATGTGTTCATATCATAGAATACACAGTGCAAGCAACAAAAAGGATGTCATAGAAGAACATGGAATGTCACGGAGAAAAGGTCCTCAGTATATGGTCACTAAAACATTTCGGGTTATGGAATACTATGCAGAATAGGATCTTATTTGAAAAAAATAATGATTTGCAAACTGTAGGAGATATGTTAGCAGTAATGTTTTCTTAGTGGTAGAATTAGAAACAGAATTTTTCCTTGTCTTATCAGCAAAACAACTTGCCCATTCTTACAAATCTGAAGCCTCAGATTTCACCATTGAAATGTGTCTGCCCAGTGGGTATAGGTTACACTCAGAATGGCCTTAGCCTGTGCTTCCTGTTTGAAGACTTCCACAAGTCACTCAGGCCATCTGGTTGTCTCCACTCTGGGCTCCATTGTCAGGAATATTTTAGTGGGTACTGGGGTTTGAAATCAGGGCTCATGCTTGCTAGGCAGGCACTGTACCACTTAAGCCACTGTACCTGAGCCATGTCAGGAATATTTTTGGAGCCCATGCAGGATACTCTGCACAGTTAATACAAAATCAGGGACAAACATCCTCTCCTTCCCCACCCAGGGGCTCCTATAGTCAGCGGGGTCATCTAACTGCTGACAATGCTAGAAAAGACATGCGCTGAAGAAGGAAGTTGGTAATGAACTGAAGTGAAACTCACTCCCAAGAAAAAGATGACTAACTCAAGTGCTCCTGGCCTAAACACTGTCCCTTTCAAAAAGGCCTCCTGTTTTTTTTTTTTTTTTTTTTCATTTTTCTTTTATTATTCATATGTGCATACAAGGCTTGGTTTATTTCTCCCCCCTGACCCCACCCCCTCCCTTACCACCCACTCCACCCCCTCCTGCTCCCCCCCTCAATACCCAGCAGAAACTATTTTGCCCTTATCTCTAATTTTGTTGTAGAGAGAGTATAAGCAATAATAGGAAGGAACAAGGGGTTTTGCTGGTTGAGATAAGGATAGCTATACAGGGCATTGACTCACATTGATTTCCTGTGCGTGGGTGTTACCTTCTAGGTTAATTCTTTTTAATCTAACCTTTTCTCTAGTTCCTGGTCTCCTTTTCCTATTGAAGGCCTCCTGTTTTTGTGCCTCTGGATCTGTGATCATCTTAGTGGAAATGTTTGCCCAAGGTCTGGCAGTTTGGTGGGAGCTCAGCCCAGAGACTCTCAGCAACTGGCAACTGGGGTGGTATGACAGGGGCATCTCAACATCAGGGCTTTTCTTTGGTCAAAAGGCTGTAAGTTCCAGGATGGTAGAGAATAGATCTTGTGCTCCACATCAGACAGAGCCTGCTCTGTCGTAGGGAGTCAACCAATAATTATTACCGAACAAATGAAGTAGGAGTTAAAGTAGATGACCTAATCATGATCAATAGCTTTTAGAGCTGACTCCCCACCCCTCACCCCCCACCCCCACATACAAAAGGGTTAATTTTAGATATCTGTCATAAGAAAAGAAATCATTTGACTTCTGAGTATTTTTTGGTTTGGGTTTATGTTTTGTTGTTGTTGTTTTGTTTGTTTGTTTTTTTGACACAGGATCTCCCTATGTAGCCCAGGCCAGCCTGGAATTTACATCTTCCTGCCTCAGCTTCCTCAGAGCTGGGATTACAGGCATGTACCACCAAGCTGGGAAATTCATTATTTGTTAAAATTGAAAGGAATCTTCTCTATACTACTCCTTCTTTAGCTGCTAAAATGTTATCTTCCTGTGAT